AAAGGTCTAAAGAAACTATATTAAAAAGCTCAACTTAACTTACAACATTTAATGCTAGCTGTGGGCCACACGGGGAGTCAATCTACACTAAGGCTACGTCCACACTAATGCATTTTCATTTAAACACGCATCGTTTTCTCTCCGTTTTGGCCTCCCGTCCACACTGAGACGAAAACACAGCATTTTGAAAACGCACTCAAAAACGAATACATTTGAAGACGGTGCTTTCGCATCACAGTGTTGACAGCGAAAACGCAGACTTTCTAAAACGATGACACATGTTAGTCATGTGATGCAGTCATGTGACCAATTAAACTAAGATACCGGAGGGCATTATGCAGCAGTTGTTTTGTTTGCTCTCAATTTTGACAGCCCTATTAAAGATTAATATCAGTCTGTACATGCTCCAGATAGCTTTTCCTTAAATTCTTTAATTCTCACTCGCTTTTGCAACTTTGTACTTTTGTGTTACTCACACCAACAACTGCACCTCATTGTCTCCACAAGTGTGTGAATGTGAGAGTGAATGAATAGTGGGATTGTACAGCGCTTTGAGGGCCCCGAAAAGCGCTATATAAATGCAATCCATTATTATTATTATTATTATTGTTAGTCCATTTAAAAAACTCAGTGCTTTTCCTCGACATTTTGCAAAGAGCCGGAAAGTAAATAAAAAGGCAGACAGAAATGAGGCAGGTCAAATCTTCTTGCATCCCGCATGCGTAGTACTGGAACGTAAGCGTTTTCGGCTGTTTCAATGTGGATGCACAACTTTGTGAAAACGACTGAAAACGCTAGCGTGAACATGCAGCATTTTCAGATGAAAACACAGTTTTCAAATCTATCCGGGCTATTGTAGACGTAGCCTAAGGCCGCAATCCACAGTGCAGACCACAATGGGGTCTTTTATTCCAGTGTCCCAGTGCTCTCACTCACATGCATATCTGTGGTGAGGGGACCTTAACAAAGGTGCCTTGCTTGTCAGCAATGAAAATAATTTCTGGAACAATCAGTCTGACAACTAAAGCTTGTCTCACGCAAAGGGGCATTGATCCCAAGCCCCTGTAGCACTAAATTCAACCCTAAATAAAAGAATCCAAATGGGTCAGCTTAACAGCTTAATGTAAACAAGAAAATCAAAAGAATTTAATTTAATGGTTTAGATTGCAAGAAAAGGTTTAAGCTGTGAGGATTTAAGATTAAATGTATCTCGATAAGGACCCAAAAAGTCAGTCGGTTACGCAAATGTGGAGAAATGTGCCATCATGAGTCATCATGCATTACTTTTATTTCCATTTGAGTCCTGATTCATAACAATCACAACAATTCATGTTTATTTTTCTTATGAACTCCAACAGATAAACAGTCACTGTCAGTGAAAATCGAACAACTGAAATCTTCAGGGGTCTGGATACATCATTCATGACAATGCAGGTGTTGGAGTCAGTCACTGGGCTGTACACAAGTTTCTGTGAACTTTGGGTATGTGAGGCTGTTTCTCGGAAAGCTCAGCGTGAGATGTTGGTGGTTTGAAATAGAAAAATCTTCCTGACAAGAGGCGGAGGTGTGATGTGTCACAACGACGCACACACAAATATACAAACCTATAGAAACGCGTCATCAGTCGCGCCTGCAGATGTTCCTGCGCTTATCAATAAATAACTAAGGAATCAACTCGCATAATCACAACCTGATCAGTGAGCCAGACCACCGGTGAAAATGTCTGTGAAGATTCTCTCCGTCACTCTCCTCCTGCTCTCAATGTGTGTGTGCTTCAGCTCCTCTGCAGGTAACTATACTCTTACTTCTCCAAAGATATATAAAATTGATTAAGTAGCTACTTTTACAGCAATTACTTACTTTTTGGTGAAAGGGGGTGGACTCTCGTGGGTTTCACTAGGCAACGACTCTGCTAGTTTCTCTCACCACAAACCTTTACTTCTGGTATCTGCTCATTCAGTACTTTTAAAGAGTCTTTTCAGCATTTACACTCTTGCGTTCTATCCACCAAACTCCAGACATCCCTGAACGTGCAGTCAGTCATGACATTTTAAAAGGCGTCCTTTACATTTGAATTTAAGAGAAGGAGATTTTACATCATTCTCCTGACTTTTCTTTTGATTGTGAAATATTTTCATTTGATGTGTAGTGATTATACATTTATGCATATCTACATGCAAATGTGTACTTCCTTTGATTTATGGGTTCTCATGATGCTAAGCATCCCTCGCACCACCCATTCAACTATCATACAAAATACCACAGTGGATGCAGGGGTTCCATTTCAGCTATATGAGCACTCTGTGAACAAATCTTAATGCTGTTTAGTTTTCAAGCTTTCTGCTGTGAGAGGTGCACATTGTGACTCATTGCATAACTATGGTAATGTCAAATACGAACAGGAAACGAAAGACACAGAGACAGAACAGCATGATAAGTTGCAAATGTGCGATAATGATGTTCACCATTCAATTAATAACAATAAGAACAATTCAAGACTGAAAATTCATTTGCAAGATCATGTCTACCAAGTGTTTACATTTCAATTTGATGGGTAGGAGTTGAGTAAAGTAAAAAAAAAATGAAAGCATTTGTAATTTCTGGAACAACATCCAGCTTTTGTTCATCAAATCCACATCTGGCACATCCGTTTAAACTGGAAGTGAATGTCAACACGACAGAATCAGACGCCACTCAAGAAGTAGAACATCTAAGTTCAATAAACATCAAATATTCCACCACTTTAAAAGAAGCTGTTGCACTTCGTAGGGACATAAAATCCTCATATTCCTGTTCCACATGTAAAATTACAGTAAGTGTCTCAGATATAAAACGGGAGTCAAATCTCACCTCTGTTTAATTATATTTATGGAATATGGTCCAGGTAACAAAAACAGTCACACACTGTCAATGATGAACGTAATTACTAGAGTCTTAAGATGAGCCCCAAGCGGTGAGACTTTCTACTGCAAATACTCTGTTGGCCCACTGTTTCTGTTTGATGAAGATGTTGAAGAACATACTTTGCCAAAACATGGGTCCATATGAGTTACTATTTTCAATGCACTTTGAATGAAAATGTTAAAATTACTTTGAATTATCAAAGTGTAAAATGTTTACAGAGTGATGCACAAAAAAGCCTGCTCGCTGTCACGTAATTTTAGGTAACATTTTAACAGCTATGTTGTGTTTAGTGATGTAAGGAGTTTCATCACATTTTAAACCTGGAGTTAACTTTGGTTTTCCTTCTAATTAGACTTTTGTCAGGTAAGATAAATCCGTTTTAACCTCCTTCCTCTCAGGTATCCGTGGTCCTACGAAGAAACGCCCTTGCTGCGTTGATGTTACCAACCTCGATATGAGCCCTGAGGTGGTGGGGGAGACATATCGCGAGCAGGTTTTATCACATCCCTGTGTGAAGGCTATAATGTAAGTCAGCACATGTTGTCCTACACACAAACATAAACACATGCAATCTCTAAAACATTCTTTTTTTCCAGTTTCAACACAGAATATGGTCAGCTTTGCGCCGATCCTAACGCTCAGTGGGTCCAGAATCGTAAGTTGTGCTAACACACAGACACACAAACACATTGAATGTATTTACAGAGAAAATCTAAAGCTCTCCTTTGTCTCTCTTTCCTTCTCAGTCACTTCCACAATGAAGAAGGTGCAGTGAAGCACAAGTTCTCTGGTGAAGCATTGCTGCCTGTCTGTATCATCTTTGGCCTCACTTTCAAAGATATATTCAAATGAGAATGCTTCCTAAAAACCTTTCAAATTAATTATATTACTGTTACCCTGTATTTAATTCTTGGTGTTGACTTCAGGCTTTCATGGTGCCAACCATTTTTTTAAAAAGTTAGCATTTAAGCGCTGTCTTTCTTTGACTTTTTTCTTGCTTATATGTGCATTTTAGTTTATTATGTATTTATGTGGAGAAAAAAACCCAAAAAATAAACTTTATTATTGTCCAAATATTTTCCTGCTATTTAAATACCCATTAGACTCTCACAATATGTCATACACATATCCCAATAATTTCCCAGAACAGGTATCCCCTGGTGTTTTCAATTGAGCTCAAACTGTATAACCCCATATGATACACTGTTTAAGTTATCAGAGTTACTGCAGGTACTGCAGTAGTTTTTGAAGCCCACTTTGATCACTAGGAGCTCTTTTCTCGGGGTCTTAGGAATGGTAGGATACTAGAATGTTTTTTCCAACCTATTTAAGCCATGTCTTAGCCCAATGATGAACTTTAAGTAAAGTCTGTAGTGTGAGCGTGTCTCAGAGTGCAAAGTCATCCTTCTGTTGCACTCCACATCTGGCACATTTAAACTAGAAGTGGATGTCAACACAACAGAATCAGACTCTGCTTTCATGCAGGAGGATGCTCAAGAAGTAGCACATCCGAGTTCAATAAACATCAAATATTCCACCACTTAAAAAGAAACTCACACTTCCTAAAGACATAACTTCCTCATATGCTGTTCAGCATAGATGATTACAGTAAGTGTCTGAGATATATCTGATGGCTCCATGTGAAAGAAAAGCAAACCCCTTGTAGGTTGTATTTTAAGGTGAGGGGTGTTACAGCTCAGGGTTTTTTGGCCCCCTTCCCTTTTTTTTTCTGTTTGTGCCAATTCGTGTGTGCAGCCCCCTGCTGCAGATAGGAGCCTGCACGTGTTCATAAACCTACCTTCCTATTCTGACTGCTTCTCCTGGTTCCCTGCTCCACCCACAGCAGTGCTACTCATAGAAGGTGTTTTAAATGCATTTGATTTAAAGCAATTCTGATTTCATAACTCTTTTTTTGATCGTAGCTAGTGCAAGGCCAGTCAATGTCTGATATTTTTAAATCCCTGCAGGACGTTTGTGCTCTGTGATAAACTGTGATAAAACATCAGGAGGCTGGAACAGGTATTTTATACTCTCTCACTCGACACTGATGCCAGTCAATGCTTCTCCAAGGTGACAGTTATGTGATATGTAGGTGTGATAATGGGAGAGGGAAAACAATGATCACACACACACAATATGGTGAGAGGGTGATTGAGAGCTTGAAAGGTTTAAGATTACACCGGAATTCCCAACAACATCTCCCTGGCAATTTCACACTGGGTTCAAAAGTATACCAGCTACCAAGAAAGGATTCAGATTTGTTATAACTTGGACCAGTGATATCCAAAGTATTGACAAGGGCCCTCTGGTGGACTGCAAATGTACTGTAGGTGTGCAACAGTAATAACAGAAGTGTGTACAGTTACAAATTTATATTAATTACATTTTTTAAAAAGTGAATGGTAATAGTTAGTTATGTACATTATTTCAAAGTGATCCAATACCAAGCAAATGCAGCGCCAGCATTGCTGATGCCAATGCTTTTAACTTATAAAGGCATAGGGGAGAGCAGTGTGTTATGATTTATGAGATTAATTATCAGTTTGATAATTCTGCATCAATTGTGCAAAATGATTTCTCCACTAAAGCAACTAAAACGTGGACACAGGAAGGCAGCTGGAAGTAACGAAAGGCAAGCCCTTTACTTAGCTGAACTAAGACCAGTGACCTGAACAGCACACTGTGACAAAGGACAAGTGGAGACAGGGACAATGTATACATAGGAGGGCAATTAGGAGTCTGGTAACAGCTCAGCAGTCAGTGTTTATTTGTAAGTATTAAGCAGTTTTATGACATCTGACAGTTTCCTTCCTATGGGATTTTTCTCAGGGCAAATATATAAATATTTAAGCTTTCCTTAGAAGGAAGAGCTGTGGGAATGATGTCCTCCAAACTCTACAAACAAATGTCAACACTCTTTAATTTGCCTTAATTTTTCATAAACATCCAAGAATTTTCAGATCACGAAAATTTGCTCATTGGATCAAATTGGGCACGTCTTGCTGGGCAAGGATTGGCTCACTCTACAGAACTTATTGAATTCTGATTGGATCTTGTCTCACCTAAACGTTTTCATCGACATGCATTTCATCATAATTTTTGTCCTTGTGCTTTTTTATAAATGTATTTATCATGTTGCTTTTGTCATAAAAAGGGTTGTTGATGAAATTTATAACAAATTATTAAGACTTGGTAAAAAATGTTAAAGAAAATATTAGTTATTGCAACTGCAACCTGAACACTGAACTGAAATTTCCTCCACAATGGTTTGAAACCAGTGAAGTAAAACAAAAATGTGTTTCTTCAGCATGTGAAAAAAACCTTTATTTATTGTGTTAAACCCTTCTATCAAAAATATAATAACAATGACAGTCAATCAAATAAACAAACAAATAAATGCTTTCAATCGGACATGTATGTGTGGGGTATGTGATACTCCAACGCTTTTTGCATTGATTGAAACTTTTTGGATGGTTTGTAAAAATTCTATACATATCAGCTGTAATGAGGTCAGTGTCAAGCTGCTTTTTAACTATAAGCAACCAAAATATTCTTAAATATAAGCCTAAATAAAAGTATCATAATGGGACAGCCAATACAGCTATCCCACATAGCAGACAGGTCTGGCCCGTATCTGGTGTCAAGCCGGCACTGCTGGCTGACTTCTGGCATGGTAAGTGGTATGT